ATGGAGTACAAGAGATAGTATTATAACATAAGTTGGTGATAATATTGTAGATATGAGGAGCAACAATGTTATTGCCTGCCTGACTTACATGATTACCACTTTGAGCTAACTAAATATTCATTTCAAGCAATGCTTTAAAACACTGAGGTGTGACGCGAGGCTTTCCACTACCTAGAGGCATGAGGCGTAGTTCAGAACATAAGAGGCATAAGCCTTCCGAGTACAAAGAGGTATAAGCCTCCTTAAGAGGAGGGGGCATGAGGAGGAAGAAGAGAAAGAAAAATCTCATTTTTCTTTATTTTAACAAAAGTCTTATGTTAAGAAAAATGAAGATGCATAGCACTAGTTGAGGGGGGGGGGTCTTTCTTTCCCCTTATCTTCCCTTCCCTTCCCTTTCCTTTTCTTATCTTTCTTTCTGTTTCTTCCCCTTCCCTTTCTTTTCCTTTCTCCTCCTTTCCTTTTTTTTTTTTCTTTTTCTTTTTTCTGTCTTTTTACATGAGGTGTGCATGAGGCATACACCTCATGAAAAAAGCGTATGAGGTGTGCATGAGGCGTACACCTCATGAAAAAAGCGTATGAGGTGTACACCTCTTACACCTAAGGCATACGCCTCAGAGGTGTCAGCACCTCTAGCATACACATTAGGGCATTTTGGGGGCACCTTGATTGGAGGTGCGCTTCCAGGCATATGCCTCCCACTGCCTTTTAAAACACTGATTTCAAGTATGAAGTTAAATATTAGTTTTTCTTTGTGTAATAGATTATTTAGTTGATATTCATAAAAAAATAGATTATTTAGTTGATCTATTAGAACCATCTACATTTTCTGTTAGTTAAAGTTTGGTTTAACTCATTCTATCATGAAGCTCTGAATCTTAAGGTTTACAGGGCAACTCCTGAACATATTGTTTTGTCTATAACCTTAGTTAGCTTTGTTTAGTGGTTTGGAACAAGATAATAATTTAAAAGGGTGTGCCTATGCTTCTTTTTTTCATTTCATAAAATACCATTCTATATTTTGCATATTTACAATATTTCCATATGATATTTCCGACATGTTTCTTGTATCTGGATGATCCACGTTTCCACCTACACCGACATTTTAAACCTTGATTCCTCCCTCAAAAATCAACTTCTTAGTGTGGGCTATTGCTCTTGACAAGTGCCTTACCAAAAGCAACCTGGTTCAGAGGGGTATTTCCCTTTAAAATCTCAGCTGTGGTTTATGTGGTTGGATAGATGAATCGGTTGACCATCTGCACATTCATTGCCCGGTCTCTTGTGTGATCTGGTTCCACTTTATCAGAGCTGCTGGGGTAAATTGGGTGATGCCTGGCTTGGTGAAGGATGTGTTAAGAAGTTGATGCTTATTGGGTCTCTCTAAGGGCTTATTCATTTCCTCTTAATTCTTATCTCTTAAGAGGAATCTTTTAACTTTAAGAGAAAAATGGTTGTTCGTTTCCTCTTATCTCTTATCTCTTAAAGTGCAATCATACAACTTTTTGTTTTTCAATGATATTCCCAAAAAGACAAACAAAAATTCTCATATATGGGGTCAAAATGGATATTTGATCATTTTCAGAATTCACAACAACATTCTCTGCATTTAAAGTTCAGAGGAAAGAAAAGTTCAATACCAACATACCTCTTAATGTAATTATTGCACTTTCAGATGTCAGACTTCAGAGCAAACGAATAGGACCTAAGAAAGGCAAATGCATTTGGAAATCAATCCCTGCCGCAGTGATTGGTTCCACTTTCTCAGTGCTTTCTGTTAGGAAGTGTTTCATGGCTGTATTAATACCTGTGGCTTGCTTCAAAGAAAAAGACCAACTTGGTGTTTGTCCCCCAACTGGTGCGTTATGTGCAAGTTAAGTTGTGAAATTGCCTTTCATCTCCTAATCTCTTGTCCTCTTGTTAGCTTTATTTGAAATTGGTTTTCCTCCCTCTTTGGATGCTTTTGGTCTCCTCCTGGCAGGTTGGAAGGATTGTTTAGCCCTTCTGTTTTTAGTTGTACTAAAAGGAGGGGCAGGATCTTGGGGAGATGTATGAGAGCAACGGTGCTATGGACAGTTTAGGAGGAAAGAAATTCAAGAATATTTGAAGAAAGAGAAAGGAGCAAGGAAGCCTTGGTGGAAATCATAACCTTAAGAGTGGCACAACAGGCAAAAACATGCTGAGATGTGGTCACCCCCATTATGTGGCTGGAAGAAACTGAATTTTGATGGGAGTTGTTTGGGTAACCCAGGCCCCTTAGGCATTGGGTGGGGGGTGGGGTAATTAGGGATGAGGAAGGAAACATCATAGCCCTGTACTCCAGGCCTGCTAAACAGGGTGATGTGACAAGATCAGAACTGTAGCTGTAGTATATGGGGTCGAGAGGGCAAAGGAATTGGGAATTGATAATCTAGTCATTGAGGGTGATTTGAGAACTGTTGTCAAATGGCTGAAGAAAGGGGAGGGGGTGACATGGGACCTGAGGAATGACTTCAGGCCATTTAAATGGTTAGCAAAGGACATGACTATCAGACTTAAGTGGGTGAGAAGAACTGCCAACAGCTTGGTAAATGGTCTAGCTAAGCAAGGGGTACAAAGAACTCAATTGTATTTGGCTCACTTGTAATTTCTGGGTGGGGTCAGCTTTTCTATAGCTGTGTTTTTCTTCTCTTTTCACAACCTCTTGTTGTATTCATGCCTATTTTTTATTAATGAAATCACTAGCAGAGGGGGCGCTGCGTTGCAGGGGTTCGCTCATAAACTATCAGGCTCGAGCTTGATTCAAATTAGAGACTTGAGCTCAAGCTCGAGCTCGGCTCAAGTCAAAAGCTCGGAAGTTCAAGCTCGGCTACCTTTGATTGCAGGTCTCTCAAGCAGCCGAGGTCTCCCTCAATTGCCGAGGTGCCAAATTGAGGTCTCCCTCATTTGTTGAAGTTTTGAGCTGAAGTTTCCCTAGTAGGCGAGGTGTCAAGCTAAGGTCTCCCTTAGTTGACAAGGTGCCGAGCTGAGGTCTCCCTTAGTGGTCGAGGTGTTATCTAGCTCGAGCTCGATTCAAATTAGAGACTTGAGCTTGAGCTCTGAAGTTTGAGCTTGAGCTCTGAAATTTGAGCTCGGCTTGGTTCAAACTCAATTACCTTTGATTGTAGATTCCCTAGTAGCCAAGATGCCAAGCTGAGGTCTCCCTCAGTTGGATAGAGAGTGGCATTCTTGTAATTTATGAGAGAGAGAGATGGCATTCTTGTAATTTGTAAGAAAAAGAGAGTGGCATTCTTGTAATTTGAAAGAAAAAAGCAAGAGAGAAAGAGTTAGTAGGAGAGAGTGACATTCTTGTAATTTGAAAGAAAAAAAGGAAAAGAGAGAGAGTTGGTAGAGAGTGGCATTCTTGTAATATCTATGAAAAAAAGGCAAAAAATATTGTTAGATTCCATTTCCCTCATCCTTGGGCCTTCTTACGTACACATTTCAGCTTAATATAGCAAAGGGGGCCATGCGTTGTGGGGGCTCACTCATAACTATCAAGCTTGAGCTTGATTCGAATTAGAGACTTGAGCTCGAACTCGAGCTTGGCTCGAGTCAAAAGTTTGAGCTTGGTTACCTTTGATTGCAGGTCTCTCAAGCAGATGAGGTGTTGAGCCAAGGTCTCCCTTAATTGTTGAGGTGCCAAACCAAGGTCTCCCTCAGCTACTAAAGTATTGAGTTGAGGTTTCCCTAGCAGACGAGGTGTCGAGCTAAGGTCTCCCTTAGTTGACAAGGTGCCGAGTTGAGGTCTCCCTTAGTTGTCGAGGTTCTGAGCCAAGATCTCCCTTAGTGATTGAGGTGCCGAGCCGAGGTCTCCCTCAGTGGTTGAGGTTTCGTCTAGCTCGAGCTCAATTCGAATTATAGACTTCAGCTTGAGCTCAGAAGTTCGAGCTCGGCTCGACTCGACTCGAACTCAACTACCTTTGATTGCAGGTCCCCTAGCAACCGAGATGCTATGCTGAGGTCTCCCTCAATTGAAGAGAGAGTGGCATTCTTGTAATTTATGTGTGTGAGAGATGGCATTCTTGTAATTTGTGTGAGAGAGTGGCATTCTTGTAATTTGAAAGAAAAAAAGCAAAGAGAGAGAGAGTTGGTAGAGAGTGGCATTCTTGTAATTTCTATGAAAAAAAGGCAAAAAATACTGTTAGATTCCATTTCCCTCATCCTCAGGCCTTCTTACGTACACATTTCAGCTTAATATATTTATATTTATATGGATTTCTGTGTTTCTGATAAAAAGAAATAGAAGTAGAAATCCTGAGGAGCTGATTAGTCTCACTGTGGGTAGATTGGGGTTCCGGGTTTCAGTTGTAAATGAGTTCAGAAATCAGAACATGTTCCAGATTTTGAACATGTCAAGTCTGTGGGAAATGCGACTCATTTTTTCCAGTTGGGGGTGTCCTGTGTTCCCCTTCCGGGTGTATGTTGTGTCTTTTCTGCAACAAAGTTACTTTACCTTCTTCCCAAAAAAAAGTCTTGCCTGGATGTGACAAGGCCTATATCTGGACCTGGGCAGGGCCTGCTAGGCCACACCCAATTGCCACTCCCACTTCCCCTCATTCGAGCCTTTCAAAATGTTCGGAATGCAGAGCAGCACTCTTCTCTTGTCAAATATTAATAAAATATCTTCGATGATGTTGATGAGGAAAAAAGAAAAGAAAAAGAAAAAAACTGAAAACGTATCCACACTTGATGCTATAGCACAATGTTGAGAGTTTATTTCTACCATGTTTATGTAGCCATGGCCCAACCACATCAGGAGTGAGGGCCAGAAGGCCCAGAACCACCAAAATGAGGAGTTTTGACTAGTCAGTAAGATGGTTGGGTTCTCCAATCAAGGCTGGTGGAAGGGGGTTTTGGTTGATTTCTAGCGGTGCTAGGCACATTCCATTCAGTGTTATATATATATATATATTCATGACTGATATAAAATGGAACCTTCTAGTTAAGATGCTGACTTTCAAACCTTAAACACTTGTTTGCAGACTTTCTTTGAGAGGGAATGGCTGAAATTCAGTGGTTTGATGCAAATATGGTGTCTCCAGAACTTTTTGTACCACAAGACACCTGAATTCATGTTTTTATGACTCATGAAATAAACAATCTGATTAGCTGTTATCCTGGCTTTCTTATGTTTTAACTGTGTTCCGCACTTGAACAGTTGACAATCTTAAGTGAATTCTATTCTACTTGTGGTGGATGTTAACACTATGGATGTTTGTGTGGTGCATTACTGCACTTGCTAGAGGACAGGCCTACCACCAAAGGCCCATGCAGAAGATCGTTGTTTTTTTTTTCCCTTCTCATCTTTCTTTCTTTCTGTATTACTACCACTGATTTTGGAATTGCTGCACCTAGCCATCCAAGAAATTTTATTTGTCTGGTTGATAAAAGGAAAAGGCTTGACTCTTACCATGAGATCATATTGACTAGTTGGATATCCAAAACTTGTGGTCAAAATGATTCTTTTTTTTTGGTTAAAATGATTCATTCCATAGGAAACAGTTATTCACAGGGATCATACACCATGATTGGTGAAGCATACCCACCTTGTATGCGTGTAATTATGGTATATATGGATTGTAAAGATAGTCCATAGACAAAGGGATCTCTTAAATGACGACTAGTTGAACAATGAGTCCTGCTTACTTTCTTTTGTCTTGTCAACCATGTTCTTTATGCATGTCAACTTGACAAGTTTTGTCTATAATAGCTTGTGTACCTTCACTTTTCTTTTTTGATCAGTTTGTGTACCATCGCTTTAGCAACTGCACAGTCTGCACTTTACTTGATTTCTTTTTATACATAGCAATGAATATGGAATGACAATGACATTTATTACACCCTATCTTGCAGGACTGGATTTGATTTTGATACATCCATTGCATTATAGGAGATTAAAATTCTTCTTGGCCACCTTAAAGGATTGATTTTCATACAATGCCCGGAATTGAATTAAATGGCTAGCTGCTCAGGAGCTACGAGCACAAGTTATCCATTTTATACCATTTTTTCATTCATTTCACTATTAATGATAATATTGTTCATATATTCCTTTAATCCAAATAATAATTTACTTACATCATGCAGACGCCATCTGTATATTTCATGATTCATCTCTTGATTTTAAATTCGGGATTGCAACTTTAACCTTTTGTCCGAAAGAAAAGATTCTCTTTTTTGGCAAAAAAGGGAAAGTTCATATTAACATATTAAAAGTCTACACCCAGTTCATTCAGAGGAAGTTGAAACCTCCTCTCAATTCCTTCCCTGCATACTCTATATTCTATGCTATGAGCTATAGAATTATATTCTGTTTCCTTTATCTTACACGTGACAAAACCTTGTACCAGACTTATAAGATGATCCCTAAACATCTTTTGTGCCCAGTTACAATCAGCTGTTTGATTATTTACAATATTTACTATTGACAAAGCATTACAAAAAACTTCTGAACTGTAAATCTTTTTTGCCTGTGCTTCCTTCAAACCTGGCTATTAGTGCCTTCCATTCCACTTCAGCTGAGTTGCTGGCTGAGACCCTGTGCCCTGCTGCAGCTGACCCTACCTCAATCCTTTATTAGCACATAAGCAATAGAGGCTGAATTGTATTTTTGCATATAAAATTCATCCACATACAAACATAACTGCAATGGAGTTGGAGAGTCATCTTGCTGGTGTGTATAATGAGTTATTTGTGGCGCAGACTGATGATTTGGTCTCAACACAGTCCAAAAATAGCTATTGTAGCTATGTATCGGGAAATCTCCCTTGTCTTTCATGGTGAGATGTTCCTAATGTACAGCTGCAATGGCTGTTGGGACCGTGTTTGGACAAGATCCGAACTCTTTCTATCCACGTCTTGCTAATTATTTACAGTATTGGTGATAGTGAATTCACTTAACCTAGAGGGACATTTTTGTCCAGCTAATTTATCCTACAGCTGTTAGTGATGGATGATAATATTTATAGTTTGCGAGGGCAAAGCGTACCAAGCAATCAGGTAGTATTAATAACTAGGTGGTACTTATTTATGCTTTTTGTAATCAATTCATGCACAAGTTCGAATGAGGCTGCTTTGTATCAATTCGTGCGTAAGTTTTGAGTAAGGCCGCTTTGTTTTTGGTTGCCGGTAAAGTATAATGGAAGCAAAAGTGAAGAGGGTGGGGGTGTGAAATGACTTGCCTTCTTTCTAGTCTTGGATGAGATCATGGTTTTTATTATTTAAAGTTTTAAACTTCAAAATAAAATTTCATCCAATAAAACTTCTGATTTTATCAGTCTCCTTCACATAAGCTTAATATTGTAAGTAGAAAAACCCATTTTTTCAAAGTTTATTTTCAAGGTGCAATTAAATAATTTTATAATAATTATTTTTTCATACAAATATTTTGCCAATAAAATAATTTTCTCGAATCTAAAAGCAGAAGAAACTAACCTCCAAATGTTACTTTTCTAAAATACAAAATTATACGAGGGAAATTCATCCAATACAGTTACAGAGAGGGGGTATTTAATTGACCATGCTGGTTAAAAGTTAAGAAATAGGTTTGTACAGGGATGCTTCTTACTTGACTGATTATAAACCTTACCAAACCCTCAAATAAGTTCAGATTGGTGTTTCACATGCACATTTCAACATGCATTGGGAACATCTCCTGTACGTGCCATTGGGAGATGTTTACAATACACAGTTGTGATTTGTTGTGAGGTGTGTATGGGGTATGTTTTACGGGCACCGATGCGAATTCCCCTCAAATGCTATTTTGCTACACTTATCCTGTATGTACTTCTATTCAGTCTATGACAGAGGTTGGATGGCTCCCCACACAGTGCGCCCCACAGCCCATCCTCGTGCATTGGAAACATCTGTGCATGTCATGGGGAGATATTCCCAATTCACGGGAGGGCTGTGGGGCATGCTCTGTGAAGAGCCTAACCCCTCTTGTCTGTGACACAGGTCACTTGTACTCCAGATCTGCTACTCATAAATTGTTCCCACATCTATAGCCACAGAATACCACTGTCGTCGTGTATTGGGAACACCTTCGCATAAATGATAATGAATGATAAGGGAGAAATTCCCATTGCATAGCTATAATTACTCGTGGATAGAGATGTGGGAACAATTCATGGGTAGTAAATCCGAGCCCAGTGACCTGTTGTTATACATGTGTATATTACCCAGCCATGTATATAATCTGGGATACCTGTCGCAGACTGAATGTAACTGCAGCAGAATCAGACTCATCCTGTTTGGATGTTACAACTGAGACATAAATAACCAAGCCATCTTAACTTTCTTGTGGACGTGAGAAGTAACCAAGCTACCTTACCTTGGTTTTAGACTGTAAGGGAGGTTTAATTGGGCTAATGTCGTGGATGCAATAATGAAAATCCTGAAGAAAAATGGTTGCTGTTATTCATCTTTTGGATGAAAGAAGATTCTGACATCTGAAAAATAATCGTCCAGACTGATGCGAATATTGGCCTCTGGTCAATCAAAAGGGTCGTCCTAGCTAGTAATTGTGTTTCTGATTACAGGGATTAATGAAGACCGGACACAAGCCCACATGCAGCATGTTGGTCCTTTTACACTCATAACAAAGAGACAATGTAGATTGGCACTCGGACCAATCGAGAATCTCCTTATTGGGAGTGGATAGTCCCCTTTCAGGGATAGAAAAATTTCCCTCCTCCTTTTGTTGGGTTAGTTGGTCTCAATCATTCAAATCAAACAGGTGGGTGACCTCATGGTTTTGAAACAGCCAATTGAGCAATGGGACCGAGCCTCAGGCTAACAAAAGAAGAATCCTAGTGTTGCCTTCTATTTTTGTTAAAGGTTAAGAAGAAAACGATGACCACAAGAACTGTCTCAAGATTTGACACTTGTGTTCCTCTTGGAGAATTATTGTACAATATTCTGATTGGACAATCCTCTCAAGTACTATTATTTTTGTCCAAGAGAATGCAACCACTGTTTTTGTTTAGAAACCACAGAGCTGCTTCAGCCTTCTGTTAGATGGACGGCATTGTTTTGTTTGTGAAAGGGAGCAACCCAATATTCGAATTCCACTAGTGTGGAGATGGATCCATTGAAAGGAACATTTTTCTCCTTTAAAATGGAGCAAAAGTGTTGAAAAACCGTCAATTATGATTGGAAATTATCAAAAATGTATTATTTTAAGTTCTTATATATGCCTCTTTTTTTGTATTCGGTGCTATACACTATTAATGATGGTTTTTAAAACCGATTTGGAGACCGAACCGGTTAGGGGTCCGGTTACCGGACTGACTGTTCGATCCGAAAGGTCGGCTCGTTCTAACAAAAAAAAATGGTCAAAATCGTTCGAACGATTAACCACCCGGATCAGCGGTTTGCTGACCAAAATCAACAGTTTTTTGAGAAATCTCAGTTTTGAGAAAGAATGGAACTGATTCCCGATTTTTCCGATCCAACCATCCGATCCAATCCGATTTTGAAAACCATGCCATTAATTTCCCCCTGACCCCTTTTCCCCCAAAATTCTAATTGCGGGATTTGATTCCATATCCCTGAAACAAACCAGTTAACACACCAACGAACCAGCCCTCGATTGGTAAATTCTTATATATGCCAAGGATAAGGGCAGTGAATTCTATGTGGTAATTTTCCTTATTTCTAAAGTTATGCCTACTGATTAGTTCATGTCTCCTTTGCTCCACTCCACGTACAGGCAACAGAGCAGCTCATGTCATTGCCAAATTTGCATGTAATGTCTCTAGGACCTTTTATCATGGTCCATTCCACCTGTACTTATGGATGATTTGGTTCAATGGATTTCTTGAGGAAAAAAGCTATTCCTACTATGTACTGAATCTAGCATAAATTCAGTTTTCTATTATTTAATCTCTTATCAGTTGGGGACAAAAATGAAAATTTCTTTACATTCTTTTGTGTTATTTTGATTGAAACTTGTTGGAAATTTAAATAGAGATTAATTATAAACAAATATAAAATAAAAATAAAAAACACTTCATCTTTGATTAATCTCTCCTCAACGATATTAACAATCAAATGAAAATACCATTGGATGTTTAAAGATATTTTAAAGGTGATTGGGCAGAGGTTGAATACAAAGAGGACACACATAGTGGCCATAGGTGTCAATTGGAGGAAACCTTTAAAGATTTTGGTTCGTAGTCTTAATTAAAGTAAAAGTATAAAGGGTGTCCATAACTCAGTAACTTTCTCCCTTTTTGGCAAGGAGGGAATGCCCCTTTTGATGGTGATAAAGATGCCACATCATCCATGTTTTAAGCTTCTGAAATAATATTCCTGATGTGACTTTGTTATTTACCACTGAAAGGAGCATTCCTCCCTTTTTAAGAGGAACCAAAATGATCTCTCTCTGTATGTATGTATGTATTGCAACTCTAACCAGTGTCCTTGAATTATTTCTGATCTGACACCTTTTCTACCCCACTCCATCCGGTTATTATCAATCACTGTCCAAGTCAAAGAAGTAGAAAGCATTTTAACTGCATTTTAGCTCAAACAGGGGACCATGGGAAAGCACAACTTCTCATCACTCATACTTCTTTTCTTTGATGGATATTCTCATCATTCATACTAGGTACTGTGTTGAGTAATTTTTTCAGAGAAAAGAACGGAGCCTGTCTGGCATCTGTATTATGTGGAAACAGGGGCGGAGCTAGGATTTTTTATTGAGAAGGGCCAATGGATAGGGGGGCCAAAAGTTAAAAAACATGAATAAAGGAGCTAAAATACAAGTAAAATTTAAATAAATTTGAAGGGAATTTTAAAGGCATTGGGGGGGGGGCCATGGCTCCCCTCTGCCACTCCCTGGGTCCGCCCCTGTGTGGAAGAAGTTTGCTTTACGGTCAGCACTGTTTAGAGATGAGCTTCTGAGTTCTGGCACAAAACTACATGGAGGGTTTGGCCAAGAAGGAAAAAGCAATTTTGATTACACCTCCCATGGGGTTTCGGTCTCTGGAGTTCACCTAATAGCTTAGCCCTTTTTTCTTTGACCATAAAACTACAGGGATTTGTTATCGGAAGAGACAGAATTGAGACAAAAGTATTTTATCAAAATGCCCTTAATAGTAAAATATCAGTTCTGTCTCTCAATTATATTCTAAAAATGAAGTACCCTCATGGCCTCATTTACAAATACTGAATACAGTTGTGTCCTGTGGGATAGGTGGTGCTAAGTCCAGCACAGAGGGTAAATATAGGGTACTGTGACTACTGTCCCTAGGGAACCCAGAAACCTTGGATACACTAAAGGGCAGATGCCACATTGGCTGGTTCTACTATAGTGGCTTAGTGCTTGATATATATAGCTGATTGGGACTAATAATTCAATTCTATACTCGATGGCAAGTGAAGGTTTTGATTTTAAGACAGAAGAAGCGAATACAAATTGACCAGCAGAAAAATTATTTGTGTTCAAAATGTTCTTTGACGTTGCTAGTATGTAATTATGTATTACACCCAAAGGTTTGGCAAATTTCATGTGTGCACAAATGGTTGAATGCCACCCATTTACCTTAGGGAACGTCTGGTTCCAGTCAACATCTAAATCATTCACTAAATGGGTTTCTAAGTCACCTTCCTAAATGGAGCTATGGCCTATGTGTAGGCTAGACCGCATGCATTATATTATTAGTCTCAGTACCGATTATTAGGGTTGTTCACGGATCGGGTTGGGTCGGTTTATTGAGATTTTTTCAATCGATCCGACCTGGTCGGGTTACCTGAAATTGAAATCGAAATCGACCATGTGTTAAGTAAAATCGACGTGGTCGGTTTGAATCGGGTTGGGTCGGTTTGGGTTGGTTTCGACTATAAATTCAACCATGGTAATAAATTGGTAGATTGGAGAAAAAAGACTGAAATTTGATGTAAAAAATGACACCTAATTCTATTAGAGAAAGAAGACTGAAATTGGTAGGGGGCRGACCAAGTTAKAATAGAARYTATCAAGAAAATAGAAAGTCAAACTGTATTAGAGAAAGAAGACTGAATTTTGTATATTTCAATAAACCTTTTAATCTAAGTAAAAAATGACACATAATTCTAATTGTAATTAGTTGACTTGTAAAAGACCACAAAAACTATGATCCTTTGATTCTTTTTTTTTTTAACTTTTCCAAAAAAATTCATTGTCTAGTTGTCTTACAATACTTGCCATTAATGTCATTCCTAACTAGAAGACTAGAAATTAAGTTAGGTTGTAACTAGGATAGAGACAACTTAGTTAAGTAGGAACTAAGTAAGTTGTAAATATTAAATAGGAACTAACTACTAACTACTAAGTCGGTTCGGTTTTCATATGACTGACCCGAACCATCGGTTTATGATTTTTTACAACCCGAAACCGACCGGTACTGAAGAAAACCCGGCCGATTCGGATTGGGTCGGTCCGGGTTAATCGGATTGGATCTTCTTATGAACAGCCCTACCGACTACCTACCTCAAACCGTTCAGTTAAACTTCTCTGGCATCAGTCCCAGGAGAAACCAGTTCTGATTGCGAAGAATGGAAGTGGATTCCTCTTAATAACTTCCTCAGAAAATGGGAAGAAAAGTTGATCCAATTTGGTTGAGTATTTTAGCAATTTAGACAAGAAAATGAGAAACCTTGGATGTGCAAAATGAAGGAACTAGTTGATGGAAAAAGAAACTGAGCACTGGGCATTGCTTTGCTCCTTTTGCTCATTTGCACAAGCACTTGCTGGGGTCGGGTGGGTGCTTCACTCTAAAGGAAAGGCTCCTCCAAATCCAATTTGAATGGTCCAGCCAGGACCAAACCTCTTATCCCCACACTAAGAAGCATATTCTTATTCTCCTTTTTAGGGAGAAAGCAGACCCCAATGCCACCATCGCATGAAGAAGTAATGACCAATCACTAATAATCAGGTCGCTCAACCCCATCTCTATACACTTATTGTTCATGTTCATTGGAATGCACTGCCAAACTTGTCCACATCCTGCATGTCCAGAGGATTGGAAGTGGAACCCACCAATCCACCATTCAACTGAGGCGCGCGAAGCCAAACCATTTGTGATTTGTCCAAGGACCATCACCTTTTTGCATTTTTCATGTATTCATTTGTATCCTCATGATTTCAAAATTTTCCCTCAAAGCTCGGTACAAGCTTTTTAACTATAATGCAAACATTATGTGCATGCCACCAAGCGCATAAGAAGGGCTTATCAAGAAGAAAAAGAAAAAAGAAAAAGCCCGTAAGAAGGAACAAAAATACACTGTTTAAATTCTTGTCCTTGTGTGATTTTAAGGGTCATGCGGTTTTTAAAGGCCCATGTCCCGTTATACATGGGTCTAGACAAACTTATTGTGGACCCATTTTTTGTAGGTCTGGACAAACACGTGGCAGTGCTCCAAACCCATGAATGAGGGGGTCCTTCAATGCACCGCATGCCCAGAACGGGTACATAAATTGATGGAATAATTGGTGCATCTCTCAATGGCTTGAGAGGAATCATTTTAAAAACTTGCAAGTTACAACTTGTTCTGAAAGTATGGCTGTCAATGGGTTGGGTCTGGTTTGGGACAGTCTGTATCAGTTGTCTTGATTATTAATCGAGATAAAACCATAAACCCAGAATCATCTTAATCATAATTAGGATAATCAGGTATAACCCATTATATTGGCAGCTATAATTATTTAAATAAATAACAACACAAAACTTGGTTTTTGATAATATAATTTTAATAAAAGTGACAATTAAATAATAAAATATTTATATATGAATAAATCAAGTGTTTTTCATCAAAATCATATTATATATTATCTATCAAAGTTATCCTTTTACATGTAAAACATAATAAAAATTACAAAAGATAAAAAAATACTTTCGATTTAGAATAAGCAAGAATCAGAACTGACCCAATTATTAATCAAGACAAAACCACAGAACCAGAACCGATATAATCAGTTCAATTGGTTTGAGCCTGTTGGGTAAAACCAACCCATTGACAGTCCTATCCGAAAATCAATCAAGAAAAACGAAGCAACAGAGAAGTCAGGATTTGAGAAACATGATGAAATATAGAGGTCCATGGTCAAAGCAACAGAGAACTCAGATTAGGAAGCTTCGATTGATACTGTTGTCTATTATTACCTTTCTGAATTAACTTTTCACTTGCATTGGCCATCAATGAGCTTCGTTCCGTCATCCAAATATTCAATATGAAGATTGAAGAGAAAACAAAAAACAAAAAAAAAAAAAAAAAAAAAAACTAGAAGGGACGAAGACTGTCAGCTGGTAATAGTAAGATCTTCCACTAAAGTCCAACTCTGAAGGGTTGGTGCAGACACCTGCGTTTGACATGCATGGAACGTTTCTTAGTGGACAATCGTAGGACACAGAAAATCCACTGTAGTGGCTTTTCGTATAACGCCAATATATAGTTTAGTAATTTAGTTGTAGTTGGGTGGATGGATTGATTATGACCATCTCTCATGAAGTCATGATTCAAATCAGTCATGACTCGTAAGATATCCACGAAGAGTAGTTCCCTAACGACACCCGAAACAGTGAAACTTAAACCTGTAACTAGTGGCACGAAGTTGATGTCGTGTATGGTAGATTGGTAGGGACCAAATCCAAAGAGGCACGCTTGCTGAGAAATGAGAATAGAAGAGATCAACTACGTATGTGTTGCGGGCATCTAACGGCAGTCATATACTCCCAAGCGATGGTCAGAGCCTGCCTGTCAAACGCACGCGTCCCCCTCCTTTATAAAGAAAAACTAATAGAAGGGGTGTTGGGTTGCAAATAGATGCATCTCCAATATCAACAACAGCTGCAGTAGTATCAACTGCTTTCTAACCTCCATGCCATACCCATCCAACAACTCAAAGACAACAGAATGTCTGGGGAGATGAGAGATGGATTGTAGTGGACTTTGGTAGAGTTCTCCTTATCTCTACTTCCATGTAGAGAGTAGCTGCAGCATGTTCTTAGTTTTCTCTCTTCCATTTTTGGGGTTGGGTTGATGGGGTTCAATTAAAAGAAAAAAAAAAAAAAAATCATCAACTCCAAAAATTATTCCCTCTTCCAACCCTTGTCTTGTCTGGGCATCCTCACCTCTCCTCTCTTCACTCAACAAAACGATAACGAAAAAGGCGCAAGGGAAAAAAAGAACAATATCCCTCCAAAGCCAAAAGGGTTCTTTGAGACAAACCGACAAAGCATCACCCAACCTTTTATTCCCCTAAAGACACTCCTCCAAACACTATCCTCCACCTTCCTTTGGACTTTTCTCTCCCACCCTTTTCTACCCTAAAAGTCTTTTTGCCCCTCAAGCCCACCAACCCAAGCCTCCTTAGATTAGCCACATAACCTTACCTCCTTGGATTTTGCAACTGTGCTGCCGATTCTCCTCACTCCTCTCTTTATTAGATAATCCAGAGAATCAATCAGAGAGCTTAAAGCGTATACACTAATGCAAATAGACAATACCCATTTCCTATATATAGGCGCGTTCCTTGCATGCTCAGTTGTTCACTCCCACCCGTTCCAAGATTCCCCGACTACAACAGAGTTGTCTTTCCAATGGGTAGGCAGAGTAGTGACTCCACCGTTGCCCATTCCTCCATTGCCCTGCTGCAAGAGAGGTTCAGACAGTTACAGAGAGTGAAGGAGATGAGAGAGGAGAGAGAGCTCTTGAGGTTCTATTCAGAATCTGAACGGGTTGCTCCAAGCATGCCTCACGAAACAACTAGGCTGTTCTTCCACTCTGATTTGATCCATCCTCCTAGGCCAACTTTTCAAGGTTCTCTCTCTCACCAACTCAACTCGCGGGCAAACCATGTGGACTTCCAGGCCGTTGAGACCCCACTCATGAAAAATTTATGGCCCAGAACTGTGACACATACACCAAACAATCTTGATGATGCAGACGTTGACACCTCTCTTCACCTGTAAACAAACCTTACATGTTAGTCTCTTTTTATTCTTCTTTCTCATTCTCTCTTTTATTTATTTTTGGTGCTGTAAGAACAGAAAGAGATGGGAGTATGTAATTACTGTTTCCTGTTATTATCATAATCATCTTCATGTTCAGCAATTACATAGCCATCAGAGAGTCCATCCTCCAGTCTCTCCTGGAATGGAATGTCATCGTAATGGCTCTTATCAAATTCTTCTTCACCACTCCATTTCTTTTTCATGATTCTGGGAACCAAGCGAGTAAATTCGTTGACCTCTAGTGTTGCATCATCATGGTTTATACGTTCAAATCGAACTGCACTCACTTTTCTTGCATTCCCTGCCAATATCTGCATCCCATGATAAAACCACAAATTAGTAGGTCAGGTGAATTTTCAAACAAAAACTTAATAAAAGTGTCCCCTTGAGTCTGGTCACATCAGGCACCAAATGAGTAATTTATGTGGACTTTAAGTTTGTTTCATGAAGCTATCCAAAATTTTCTATTTACTGGTAATTACCATAAAAAAGGCCATTACACAATGTTGGTCCCAGCTATCTGGGGTCTAGGGAGGGATGGACTGGATACAGTCCTAACCTTTAGCCTTTTCTTTTTCTTTTTTTTTTCCATTTGTGGCCACTCTCAGACTCGAACCCACATTCTCATACTTGACAACCTAAGATTTTACCATTACATTACACTAAGTAATGGCCCCTATTTACTGGTAATTACCATATATGTCAAAAAAAAGGAAAAATTAAAGAAAAGGCCACAAACTTAAGAAGGCATAGATGATGGCTAATGAAATCTTCCATGTACTTGTAATGATAACCAATAATATAAGTACAAATGATGCTTTAGCAAACTGGTCAGTTTATATCATGGAGAATGTTGTCTTCTTACACAAATTTGTGCTATGCAAGTGGCAAGCATCATTTTCCATGAAAAAAGACAACAGTGGGGGCTCCTTAGAGTGTTCAACAGTGGGGAATCCCTTCTAAGTGTTGTTTTTATTGGTTACAATAGGAAATATCCTGCATTTATTAAAAGAAAATGTCTTGCATAAATTGAGCTGGAGAAACTATATATCTGGAATCACTGGTAAAAAAACAGGATGTAAATAGATAAATTAGATGAGAAGAAATTCAGGGATAGGTCAGTTTATTAACTAAAGAATTCTGGCCTGAAAATTTTTCTGTTAATTACTATCATTCAATTGAGAATGACGTATAATTCACTTTTACCTGCATGCTTGATTTCATAGTACGTTTAAGAGTTGAAATAGGATTGAATTTACGTGATGTTAACAATTCAGAGTTAGGCAAACTTGTTTTACATAAAAAAGTACTGTTTTCCACTGGAAAATATTGGCTCCCTCTTATAGCTAATGGGGCTTCATGAACAAACCGAAGGACATAGTTGAAAGTTTGACTGCTAGGAAATTTTTGAATTACTTTGAATTTTATTGGGCATGAACTACTAGATTCAATAAAACAATTAAAACAGATCCATTCATGTTTAGAGTTAAATTATGATTTAAAGGGAACTATAATAACAAGAGGCTTGGATAAAATTTAAATAACCCCTATTGAATACGAGAGAGAGAGAGAGAGAAAACCAGAAAATGATGTAGCAAATGAATCCAAATCTGCTGTGAAAGAAAATGCTTTAAGCCAATGCTGTGATGTCTATCAGTGTTGGACAGCTGTCTCCTAAACATGCACACGAGGCCTCAAATTCTTACAAGTTCAAACAACTGTCCAACACTGAGGGTTACAGCATTGTTTGCAGTAAATTCCAGATCGTGCCACAGTCGCAGGAAGATTATTGGGTTGTTTAGCTTTTCTTCCCTGGAACATGTCTATAAAAGCCATGCCCTATATTGCCTGGCAAAAACAAAGTTCAAAACAAGGCAAAGAAACACCAGGACCAAGACATCCCATCTAGGCAGTCTATTACCTATCCAACAAATGTTTGACATCATATTTCCTAGGAAGCATATTGCCTAGTGTTGTAGAACCTTTTTTATGTTTTTGTTTTTGTTTTTGGTAAGGAGTGTTGTGGAAACTATTAGATACCTAGTAGGTAACCATTAACAGCAATTCATACTCTTAATGCATTGAGCCCTACCAAACTAAGATAAATAAGAAAGTTATTTTCCTGGTATTTGTAATCCAAGTGCTAGATTTAACATTTCTAACTTGGCATGTCAGAACAACATAGTGGAACCAGATATTGCAAAAGCAAAGCAGGCCCTCATGCTATGCTAGATACAAGGTTCAAAGTATTGATACGTATTGACCCATATCGTGCCAATAGCTTCCCGATACGCCCCTACAGGGGTTGTATCGGGTCAGACCATGGCTCAGAGGGTAGCTAGGACTTAAACCAACGACCCCTCTGAACTGGTTTTGAAAAAATAAATAAACAAAACATAAAAAAAAAGCACCGGCACAGACCGATATGCCCTACCAGCAGCCATTAGACAATATGGCCGATTAACTTGCAAAAATATGAACATTAGACAATATGAACTTGTGTTGACTTCCAAAAATAACACCCCAAGTTGTGAACCTTACCTCCAGTTTAAAAATCTGATGTTTTTCCTTATGATCTTGGCGGTCATTTTCTGCTTCATTATCGTTTTCCTCTTGGTTTGCCGTTTCTAGTACCACTTTGATACTCTCACCTGTCCTGGGGATGTAACCAAATGCTTCACAGATAAAACCTGATACTGTTTCATACTGATGACCCTGCAACACATCAATGAGAAAAAGAAAGAATATATAAGGAATAAAACTCTTAATCCAAAGTGAGCCCTATGAGCATTTGAAAGCAACTTCTTTTTTACCCCCTCCTTTTCGGAACTCCTGGAAAATAACAATCCAAAGTGAGCCCTATGAGCATTATGTGCAGCACATTTTCAAAAGTTGCTTTTCAATGGAAAGAAGAAATTCTCTTTTTTTTTCCAGAGGTAGATTTCTTTCCTTTTTTTTGAAACTGTAGGTAAAGTATTTCATTGATATCAAAATGCCAAAAGTACAATAAGTCCCCTGTACAATGAGAAGTTGTACAGTGGAATAGACAGTAAAACTCATCCAAGTGCAGGTCTGAACTTTATCATGGTATCAGAGCAACTGTGAAAAAGAAAAAAAAAAAAATCAGATCTGCCCAGAATTCTGTTCTCTCGCGATTCAGCCTAGGGTTTTACAGTTTTCTTCATTATCAGTTAGAGATGGGAAAAAGGGCTGAAAAGGAGTGATCACCCTTTCCTTTTGGAGGTTTTCATGCCTCTTGTCAGTGGTTTAGTGGGTGTTTGTGGTGGTTTGTGGTGGTTTGTAGGAAGCCCTCTAATCGATGGTACGAAGGGGGCTGTTTCAGGTGGTGCAGTGAACAGTTGAGTGTTAGGCTGTTTTTCGGTGATCAAATAGGTGGGACATATGTGTGTTTCAGTGAGGATCAGGTGGTTGGTGAGTTACTAGTGCTATGATGTGTATTCAGGTAGTTGTGTGGTAGTTTTTGTGGTGATGAAAGTAAAGAAATCAGTGACAGGTATTGCTGAAAAATTGTGAGTATAGGTGGTTCCACTAGTGTGCAATGTGTTGTGGTGCTGAAAGTGAAGAAATCAGTGATGGGTATTGCTGAAAAATATATATATATATATATATATATATATATATTGTGACTGTAGGTGGTTCCAGTAGTGTGGAGTGTGGTGAAAAGTGATTTAGAAGCTTGATATACAAGAAAAAAAGGGAGGAATTCAGATATGGGAGTTCAGCCCAGTCGTAGTGGTAGCAATGGATTCATGTATGGTCATAGTGGTGGTGGTGGACCCATGTATAGTCATAATGGTGAACGTGTTGGAGGGCAATGGATTCATGTATGGTCGTAGTGGGGGAGTTCGTGGTAGACGTAGCAATGGTCCAAGGAGGTGTACTCATTGTGGTATAGAAGGGCACACCATTAACTTTTGTTATGATTTGCATGGCCCACCTTCAACTTGAGCAAATCATGCAGTGTCCAATGATGGTAGTTCAAAACAAGATATCCAACAAGCTTATCAGATGCCCTTTACATCTATGGATGTCTCCGAGAAGGAGATGATAAGTATCCCTCGTGATGAGTATGAGCAGTTTATTCAGGCCACCTCTCAATAGAATACAACTACTCTTGCACATTCAGGTATGGCTTGTCTGGCATCCAAACCTCTGGAGCTTCCGATCATATGACTGGGACTCTAGGTGTGTTTTCCTCCCTTTCACAGTGCTCCACATCACAGCCTATTACCCTTGCTAATGGTTTCACATCCTCAATTTGTGATGTTGGTAATGTTGACATAGACCCTTTTCCTCTGTCCTCTATTCTATATGTTCCCAAATTCCCTTTTAATCTTATGTCTATTAGTAAGCTAACCAAGTCTCTTAATTGCTCTATTACCTTTTACCCCTCTTCTTGTGTCTTTCAGGATCTCAAGACGGAGAAGAAGATTGGTGGAGGGCATGAAGCTGGTGGACTGTATTATCTTGATGGTGGTGGTGGTTTGACAACAACCCTTCAAACATCCCTTTTTCCTCTTTAGTGGCACTGCAAACTCGGTCATCCATCACTTAAAGCACTGAAGTCACTTGTTCCATCATTGAGTCATCTTTCTGTTATGGATTGTGAGTCATGTCAGTTGGGGAAACATCATCATGTTCCCTTTAGTCCTAGGGTTGATAATCGTATGTCAAACCCTTTTTCTTTAGTGCATTCAGATATTTGGGTTCCAAATAGAATAGTGTCGTACAATGGCTACAAATACTTTGTTATTTTTGTTGATAATTATTCAAGGATGACATGGCTTTACCTAATGAAAGAAAGGAGTGAATTGTTTTCCATCTTCCAAAAATTTTATGTTGTTATTTGCAACCAATTTGGTGTACACATTAAGATCCTTCATTCTGATAATGGTCGAGAGTACTTTTATACACCATTTCAGGAGTATCTGGAACAACATGGCATTATCTATCAGACTTCATGTACCTACACCCAACAACAGAATGGGGTAGCTGAGAGAAAGAACCGTCATCTTTTGGAAATTGCCCGGTCCCTTATGCACCATATGAATGCACCCAAAAATTTTTGGAGTGATGTTGTGCTTACATCTTGCTTCCTAATTAATCGGATGCCCACGCCCATCCTTGAAGGTCATTCTCCTTTTACCACCTTGTCTCCATTTTCTTTTACTCCTAGGGTTTTCGGGTGTGTATGTTTTATTCATAATCTTGGACTTGGAATGGACAAATTAGATGCACGATCCACTAAGTGTATCTTCCTTGGCTATTCTCGAACCCAAAAAGGGTATAAGTGTCATAACCCTAGTTCTCAACATTCCTTTGTGTGTCCTGATATTACTTTCTTTTAGTCTACTCTGTTTTTCTCTAGGTCAAGTGATGTCTCTTCTTCTTCTTAACACTCCCCCTTTAGCTCATAATCATACATGGGATCTCACCACGCTTCCTCCTGGTAAGCATGTTGTAGGTTGTAAGTGGGTATACACTATTAAGTACTTACCTGATGGTAGTGTAAAGCGGTTGAAAGCTAGACCGATTGCCAAAGGATACTCTCAAACATATGGTATTGACTATACAGAGACCTTCTCTCCTGTTGCTAAAATTGGTTCAGTTCGTGTTATGATATCTCTAGTTGCTATGTATGATTGGCCTCTATTTCAGCTTGACATCAAGAATGCTTTTTTACATGGTGATCTTCTTGAGGAGGTCTATATGGAGCAACCACCGGGGTTTGTTGCTCAGGGGGAGGATGGTAAGGTATGCAAACTAAAGAAGGCCATTTATGAACTTAAAAAGTCCCCCCGTGCGTGGTTTGGTAGATTCAATGAAGTGATAAAGAAGTTAGGTATGAAACAATGTCAAACTAATCACTCAGTATTCAGCCATGATTCACATCCTGAGAAGATCTTACTGGTGGTATATGTAGATGATATTGTCATTACCGACAGTGATAGATTAGGGATTGATAGGCTGAAGACCTTTCTGCAGGAGCACTTTCAAACAAAAAACCTTGGTAAGTTAAAATACTTCTTGGGGATAGAAGTAGCAAGGTCTAAGCATGGTATTAACTTGTGTTAGAGAAAGTATGTTCTTGATTTGTTGGAGGAAACAGGATTATTAGGAGCCAAACCGGATAAAACACCTATGGAACCAAATACCAAGTTGAGCAGTGATATGGGTGAGGAGTTTGAAGATCCTAGAAGGTACAAGCAGTTGGGAGCTCCTGGTCGTGGCTTAATATACAAGAGTGGAGGAAATCTTGAAATAAAGGGATACACTGGTGCTGATTGGGCTGGTTTTGTATTTGACAGAAGGTTTACTATAGGTTATTGTACCTTCCTTGGGTTAATTTGGTGACGTGTGTTTCTACTGTTGCTATAGTAGTCCGAACCAATAAGGAGAAGAAGAAAGAGAAGGAGAAGAAGAAGAAGATGAAAGAACTGTCGAATCTGATAGCTAAACCCTATCAGTCGACCTCTTAATAGTGATTAGGCTTCTAATTAAATGTACAAGGACTAAACTGCCCCTACTTAAGTATGAGACAGAGAACCTCTAATAAGACTGCCACATAAGCTCATAACTTAACCAAGGTGAGTTGACTAATCTACCCTTATTCGGCTAACTCTAACAACATGGAAAAGTAAGAAACAGACAGTTGTGGCAAGAAGCAGTGCAGAAGTTGAATATAGAGCCATGGCACATACCACTTGTGAACTAGTGTGATTGAATAATCTTCTACAGGAGATGGGATATTCCATTGACACTCCAATGAAGCTTTATTGTGACAACTAAGCTACAGTCCACATCTCTTCTAATCCAATGTTTCAAGAGAGAACAAAGCATATAGAAGTTGACTGTCAGTTTGTGAGAGAGAAGGTGCTTGGTGGAGTGATAGATGCTGCATATGTTAACACAGGACGTCAATGGGCAGACTTATTCACCAAAGGGTTAAGTCAGGGACTATATGATATATACTCACCAGCTTGAGGGGGAGTGATAGTGTTGACTGTATAGGGGTAGTTTAGTGATGTGTCCCATACTTAAGTAGGGACATAATAGTCTTGTTGTTTTATTCTAATAGAAACATATAAATATAACCTAGTCGACTAGATAGAGTGATTTTTCTCTCTTGTTCGAACCAGTTTTCTTCTTCACCTTTCTTCTCTTCTCTTCTCTTCTTCTCTTCTCTAATCTTCCTCTATTTTTAACAGAATTCTAGTGCAGGTCTGAACTTTATCACTTTCAATCCCTTTGAAATGTTAAAATTCTTTTCTAACTCAAAGACCGCATTCTTCTCAAAGAATCTATCTGCCTCCTCCAATCTTTTTTGAAGGTTGTCCCTTACTAGTTCCACAGAAATCAAATTTTCATTAATCCCCACATTGTTTGCCTTGGCAGTTGACTAACCAAGAAACAGATCATTCTTCTCTTTGTTCTTCCGCTGCAAATTAAACTTCTCCTCCACCTCCTTAAAGGCTTCCCTTGCAAAATCCTCCCCTACAAGGAACAACCAACCCAAAATTTTACTCACCTCAACCGCTTTATTTACTGCCGTGTCCAAGTCAATTGAACTTCCTACTTTGATGAGTCTCATCAATGAGAACTTCATCCTCCTCTGGGTCCACACCCTCACAAAATTTCCCTTCTCCTTCCTTTTCTTCTTGAAGCGGTTTCTTTCTGTACCTCCTTTCCTTCTA